CACCGTCAGAGGGTGCAAACCACTGCAACTGGGTCATTTCTTACATTAGTTCTGTCATGGCCATGGTAAAACCAACTCGCATTTTCCTCGCTTTCTCTCTCTCTCTCTCCCTCTCTCTCTCTCTCTCTCCTCTCTCTCTCGCTCGCAATGCATACATTCACACCTGCGCGTACTCTGTTTTCTATATACGTGTACGTTGATAGAGAACAACGAGTCACGCGTAGCGCGTATTTCTTGATTAGAAAAACAATTAAATGAACGAGATGAAAGGCAATAGAAAAGAAACCAAAGTATTGCGTTATTTCCATTAGGTTTATTTTGGCTTTTTGGATAGGCACCGATACTGAATGAATTAAATACGTCAATGAACGTGTACGTACGCGATGACGCAGCGTTACTTTGTTCTCTCATTATCAGTTCGAAGTTTCCTTTTTTCGACATTTCTTTTGTTCTCAGTCTTTTTCTTGGTTTTTTTTTTGTCTTTTGTCGCGGATTACCAAAGAATGAGCTCGTAGAGCTCACGTGTAACGTAAAAGAACATTATCTATATGCTAATTGGAAAGTAGTACCTGCAAAGGAACTTGACGCGTTTCAAGCTGGTCGATTAATCGAATCACGTAATACACCCAGTTCGCGAATGTCTACCGCAAATCTCGATAAAGTACTTATGGTCCCTTGACCATCTCCGGTCCTAAACAGAAATTAGGTCGTCGTTCTACGCGCGATACCATTTTCGATGACACATATGGGTCATCTTTTCTCATTCTCGAACGTTGCGTTATAAATAACACGAGTAGTAGATACTCCTTGTAATTATGTCTCTAAATATAAATTTTATATAAAAATTGTTATATATGATAATAATAATAATAATAATAATAATCCGTCATGAATAAATTTCATACGACGGTTCGTTTCGTTGGAATTTTTCTCGACGATCTAAGGTTAAACTATTGCGTTGTAACGAGATTACAACGTACGTTCTCCTTTGACAAAGCTGCATTTCGAATCTGTATATACTTATTGCGAAGATTTATTCGATTCCAACAAAAAAAAAAAAAAGAAAACAAAAAAGGAAAAAAAAATGTATTCGAGCTCGGTACTGATCAAAGAGAGAAATCAAAGGCTTTCAATTAAGTTTTAGTTGAAACGATATACGATAATGAGCTTAGACGAGAACAGATAGATGGGTATGATCGATGATTGGTATTGGAATAGATTATATAACAATTGTCGAGTATCCATGACAATTTATCTTATTTAATGTACATTCAATTGTAATTAAACTTTGTTTATGAAATATTTGTGTTCGAAGGATCAATTGATTTCATTGTTCGATGAAAAGAGATTTCGAATAATGATCGATTGAAGTTAATTTGTTATATAGAATTTGTACGATAAGTATGTGCGCGTTTCGATTCATCCAAATTTAAAGTTACCTATGACGCAGATACCTTTCATCGAGGCCGTACTTAATCCACCCTCTTTTCCCATTTTGTCTGGCCTGTAATATACAACTTAACGAGTAGCTCGATCTGTCCAAATTGAGATCAAGAGGGTTAGCCAAGCACGAGAGAGAGAGAGAGAGAGAGAGAGAGAGAGAGAGAGAAAAGGAGGAGAAAGAAAAAAGAGGATGGAGGTGGGAAAAGGAAAGAAGCTAAATGGGATCAAAGCATTTCGAGTTCGATAGCCTGTGGATAAAGTCTCGTATTACTGCAAAGCTTTTCGGAAACTCTTTTCATTTTTCTTTTTATCAACTTTGTTATCCTTTGTCCTTTTTCCTGATCTTCCCTTTCCATCTCTCATCTTATCCTCTTTCCTGTCCTCGTTATGAGAGGGAATGCCGAACGAGGACACGTCTGACGCATCTTCCGCGTAAGCGATGCTGCGACGATGCAATAACGATGCCATTAAAAAATTCGATGTGAATTTTTTTCTTCAACCTAATTTCTGTTTCTCTTTTTTTTTTTTGTTTTTTAAGATCAGAATTATTTTCGAATAAATTCTAATAAATGCAAATGCTATTTTAGGAATAACATCTATATTCGGATAATTCTAAACTTGATCATTGGAAATGTATTGTTAATTTAATAATATAATTTAATAATATAAGTTAAATTAATAATATATATATATATATATATTTTCACTTGGAATAGAATATCTTCGGGAAAGGGGAAACTCGCGTATAGCTTTCGCAGTGGGGATAGATAAAAAAAGAAAATGAAGGAGAAAATCGATAAAGTGTTTTAGAATGAAAAACGTTTATTTGAAACATAAACTACGTTGACATAGATAATAATACAAAACATTCAGTCCAGTGATAATTGATCATCTATCAATTTCATTCTTACACGAAGACCAATTGCGTTTACTTCGTGAACGTTACATGTCCCTTCGATTAGTTTATTTTATTTTATTTTATGTAAATATATATATATATATATATATATATATATATATATATATATATATTTATATTTACATACGTGCGCTCATCAATTCGCATTATTAATTTTTGGTAATCGACTCACGTTAATCTATACGCGAAATGGATTCGCATATTCGCACAGACACGCGGGGATATCTACAAGGCACTAGATGGGTCGCACAAACAGTCCGTCGATGAAATTCTCTTTCTTACTTTCTTACTATCTTACTTATATCTCTCTATCTCTTTTCTATCTATTTTTCACGTCATTGTCACCATCGTGCCGCTCCGTTCATTGTGAACACATAGGAAGGGGATAGTGGTCTCTTTTTTTTTTCGTCGGACGGGAAGAACGCGGCTCCATAAATTATTTCTTTTTTATTTATATTTTTTTTCCTTCTGTTTTTTGTTTTTTTCTTTATATCCACCGATAAAATACCCTTATTTCCCTGTAATTAATTTTTCTTTTTTTGTTCTTTTTTTCTGTTCCCCTCTTCTTAATACTTTGGATCCAAAATTGAAAGATCTAAATGACGTAACGTTCTTTTTTATCCGCGTTATGATATGTACTGATTGAATCGTTGATAAAGCTAAGACCGCGTTCCTTTTCTACCCTTCTTTAAGATCATCTACTCGGTATACTTTCTCTCTTTTTATCTTTCCTTCTTTCTTTGATCGTAATTTCGTTCATCCAAATCAAAGAATTCGTCGCCCGTTTATTCACGATAATAAAAACGTGCAAACGATGATTTCTCGATCGATGTAACGAGAAAGATTAAAGATTATGAAGAATTTAACAAAATATTTTTAAGAATAGGATGTTCCTTTCGTTTCTCTTACAGAAGAGTAGATATATTTGTTCGGTCGTTTAAAAGGATGAGGATGGGGAAGGGGGAGGTGTGAGGAGGAGGAGGCCCTTCGTTTGAATCGTTTCGTTCGATCATTTTAAATTAAACGACAGTCGTATGCGTCGATGTAATTGACATTTGGCTGCGCACGACGACGCGAGCAAACGTCGACGCACGTGATTATTTTACGTACTAAAGTAAAATATATCCAACGATAGACGTCGAATAGGATGAGGAAGCGCGCGCGCGATGACGTTTAAAACGCATTTTTCTTTTTCTTTCATTCATTAGTGCATTTTTTTTCTCCTTCTTACACGCAAGCATGAGCGATACTTTTTAATCCCTCGCGATCGGAAAGAAATCTTTTGGTTTGTTCTTTCTTTAAATTATTACTCCTTTTGATTAATTTCGTATCGATCATCCCCAATAGCAGGGATCGCGAGGGATTAACAATGTGACGATGATCCGTCGTTCGACTAAAATCCCTAAGGCTTGGCATCGATGAATGAAACTAGTAACTCGAAAGATTATTTAATCTTATGAGAATTCGTCTATGTTTTTTTAGATGACGACTAATTAATTCGATTAAGATACGTCGCTAATTAATGATTAATTGATAAAATTGCTACGTAAGGAGAATATAGAGACAGTAGTACTATGACGTGACTCCAAACTGTTTTTAGATAATTATGTATGTATATATGTATGCATGAACAAGTAATTATCTGTTACTCTCTCTCTCTCTCTCTCTCTTTCTCTTTATCTAACTATCTCTTCAAACGAATTCGTCATTAATACGTGCGACTTCTAAAATACTCCTTTCAATCAATAATCAATAATCGAATGATTATGGTAACTATCGATATTTAAATGTCATATCGTCTCATATCTTCGTATATATTTCGTCTAATCTGTTCCTTGATATTGTGATAATAGGCGCTCTGGATATATCTATATGTGTATATATATATATATATATGTGTGTGTGTGTGTGTGTGTGTGTGTGTATAATATACGAATGTATACGTGAATGTGGAGGGAACTTTGGCTCCATTTTTTTCTTTTTACTTTTTTTTTCCTTTTTTTTTTCAGAAACGAATCTCGTCTTGTGAAATATTTGTAATGTCCTATCGCGTGAAATATCGTATATACGTTGGTCGTTAAACCTCACGACATTAAAAAGATCCTACGTGATCCTTGTAAAAATGCGATGAAAAAGTTGTTGCTGTTGTTGTTGTTGTTGTTGTTGTTGTTGTTGTGGATTTTTCTTCTTAATTATTTCCATCCTTTAGAAGCAACGCAAAACTTTACAATCTCGGCTTCCACGTAGCCTCGAGTATCCAACGATTCGCTCGAGTTTTGATAAACTCGAGAAAGTTGAAAAAAGTTTGTAGCTCGTCAATTTTTTGTATCTTTCCTTGTTTAAGTCTTGAATAAAAGTATGAATATATCACATATACGTATACGGTATGTCATATAAAATACTTTGGAAATAAACGTAGAAAGAGTATTTGCGAAGGTTTAGTTCGTACGAGAATGATAGTAGGAAAAATTTCAAGAGCTTTTGGATAGGCAGCCGATCGATTAGATTTTTCCTCGAAAAAGATCGTCTCGAAGGAATATTAGGCTGACTTACAAATTGATCCCCATTCAATGAATTCGTTTTATTCTTCGAAAGCTTAAGCTACGAAGAAAGCAAAGTGAACGAATCAAAAGGATGATAATGTAAGGAGATAAATGATAATGATTGTTCTCGTAGTCCAAATCTCCAAATTTTTCGCAACTCTGAATTCCGTTTTAAGCGGAGGAAACGATGGAAAGACAGCAAACTTATCGATAGAGCCCTATCGAGTCTTGACAAGTGCAGGACATCATCAGCTGTTGGGCTGCATTTCTGGGTACTCTTTGAGTCGGCAGACCGGAGAGTCCTCTTACATAAGTATAAGAGACCGGACTTCTTAGGATTCTCTTTGGGCTCTTTTTCGCGTGCTTCTTATCCTTGCTCTCCCATTTTGATGATATTTTGAGAGTCTGGAAAGCTCGTCTAAGGGTTTCGGCGGTGGACGGCCTTTTCATGCTGTCGCTATCGCTGCTACTGTGAGCGTCCGATGGACTTGGCGAGTAAGAAGGAGATTCACTTACGCGTTGATGTCCCCTGACATCGCTCGGACTCCATGATCTCGATGACTTCGCTCGTGTACGCTCGACGCTTCTCTGCACGCTGGACAATCGTTCCTGCGATCTCGTTGGTCGTCCACGAAATCTGTCCAGATAACAATGACTTCTAGGAGATCTATTGACTCTGCAGAGACGTTCGGCGCTACCACGACGAGACAATTTTTCAGCGCTACCGCTGCTACCACCGCTGCTGCAACCACTGTCGGTGCTACACTCGTCGTCGATCAGCTCTAATCTATGACCACTGGGATCACGATTGTGCTGACGTGAGTGTTGCCGATGAAGCTGTTGTTGATGAGGCTGTTGCTCTTGTTGACGATACTCGTGATGATGATGATGATGATGATGATGATGGTGGTGGTGATGATGATGTTCATCCGAGTCTGTTAATCTCGTTGAATCTTCCATGCTCGATGGAGCCGTATGCACCAGAATCACTGGCAATGACCTACGCCACTCGGTTACGCTAGCACCGAGTCGGAAAAAACTTTTCTTCGTTTGATCCAGGTGTACGGAATGAATTACTCGTTCTTTTCTCTCAGATCGTTCGATCGTACGGAGTATGATCTTTTCTTTCTTCGATAATTTTTCTTTAGTTCAACGAAACACCTTTCACTTTTGAAAAGCACCACTTCAGCTTTCAAGCTATTATTCGAAGTAACTTTTCTTTTTATCGAGTAGTAGACCAGTGTATGGTACTTCCTCGACGTCGAAGCTTTGTTTACGATTTCGAACTGAGCTGGTTGCGATGGTCGCGCACCTTTATAGACCCTCCTAAGCGATGTCAGGTCGCGCGCATGCTTACCGTACTACGTGAGGGTGTGAGGGATTCTCCGAGGGTGATGAACAAATAGAGGAGGAGGGAGTGAGTGAGAGAGTAAAAGAGGGGATGAATAGAGGAACGTAGAAGATTCCGAAGGAAACACAGGACGAATTTATCAAGAATCTTTCTATCAATCCCTTTGAGATTTTCTTTGAGACATTTTATTATAGAAAAAAAAAAAAAAAAAAACAAAAAACAAGTCAACGAAATCACGAGTTCGTTTATTCGAGATTTTTCTCGCGATGCATCTTCGATGATATTCAGAATCATTGAATCGAATAAAATTGCCATCGGAGGAGGAAAATGTTACGAGAATTGAAGTATGCATTTCTGTTAAATCGTATTTAGGGTTCACTTGGCAAAATATTTCCGACGTCAAATTTTCAACGTGAACTTTGATATTAGAAGAAAAATTTTTACGAGGATAAAAATACGTCGTCGATATGTTCTTCTCATTCTACGTGCACGAAAGATATAAGGATTTATATAATGACTTAGGACATTCATTTGTACGTTGACATTATTTCAGACGCAAAGTGGATTTAGAATGGATTAGACCGTTAAGATACGAAGGAACAAATATTTGGCGTCGATCAGCGTCGATTTCGAGTGCTGATGTCTCTCTCGAAGGATTAAAGGATTAAAACTTATTAATCTATAGTTCAAACTCTCTCTCTCTCTCTCTCTCTCTCTCTCTCTCCAGGTGAGCCGATTCAGACATACATAAGAAAAAGAAGAGGAGACATAGCGTAGGTCGAGGTTTCTCGTCTCGAATGTAACATCATTATCCTTTCCATCTACGTCTCCGTCACAAAAAAAAAAAAAGAAACATCTTATAATATTTGTCGTCGTCCATTTAAGTCAAATCCATTCGGTTCTTCTTAACTTTATCATTTATCTAATGTTAACAAGAAACGATTGCTTCTTTCGATTAGATAAGTAAATACGTATTAATAATTACAAGATTATTAGAAGGTATTCCGAACAGAATGTGGGCAGATGTATTGTAGGATCGTAGCACGTGCAGGAACACGCGGACTACGTATACATCTGACACCGACTGAGAGTTATGCCTATAAATCCTATTTCTATATTTCTCTTTCTCTGTCATATCGTCTCTAACGTAAGCAATTACGATAGAACATTGTATCAATAATTTTGATTAAGGAAAGCATATCCGTTCCCAACGAAGTTTATCGCAAGAGGACATTACACTTTTTTCTCAAAGGTGAAAGACACTGGCTTACGTTTCACCGAAAATTGAGGACTTCTCGGTTCTTCTTACGACCCTCTCCTGTCCCTCTTTTTTCTCTCTCCGTGCTATATTCTATGTGGGCGGTATCTTGGGTCCTTCTTAAGTTAGAAAAACCTACGAAAAGTACATATCTTGTTACTAGTCAGTTGGTACTCTTGCTTCGAGTCGGAGAAAAAAAAAAAGAAAGAAAAAGACGGGAAAAGAAACTTCATATCGCAACTTTTCTTTTCTCTCTCCTTTCGTTAATTTCTTTTATTTCGATCGTTGATGACATTGCACTCGCTCTCTTTCTTTCCTTCTTTCTTTTTTTATTGTCTCCAAGGATAAATTAAGAAATGAATCGTTCGAGGAATACAATAGAGACGCTTAATTTTAATTGTCGAATTATCCAGGAATTATGCGGAGATTAGAATAATTTGAAAACGAATTATATATCGGTCCTTTGGTTTGGGGTTGTCGCGGCTATTGAACTTGGCGATCGATCTTAAAGGGTGGATGAACTGGTGGTACTGACGCTTTCAGTGCTATTGCTGCTGCTGCTGCTGCTGCTGCTGCTGCTGCTGCTGCTGCTGCTGCTGCTGCTGTCGCTGCTGCCCCGTTGATAACAATGTGATAGAGTGTATGCACTCGCGAATAATCAATATCTCTATTCTGGCTCAACTAAATGGCGATTAATCGATCGTTCGACAAATTTTTAAAACGAAAAATATCATTTTATCCGAATCATACGATTAAAAACGAATAATTGTATATTTAGAAAAACTATAATATAATATAAATATTATTGATACTGAAAAGATTATGACGTATAGAAAAGAATTATTATGTAAAATATTTAAAACGAATGAACTATTGTTGTACAGACATCGAATTCTTGTTTTTACTTGCGAAAATATTTACGGATTGTAACAACAACTCCATGATCTATTCTTCGTAATTCTCTTGTATCTTTGTAATTTCACGAGAAACGGTGGACAAGGATACGGGGTGGGCGTAGATTATTTTCACGATTGTCGTAGTCAATCTAGGGTTGTTCGAGGGTCATGAATGCCCCCTTATCAAGGAATAATTTATCCGTGCCCTCAATTGCGGATACGACGGGAAAACATCGCAGCGTCTCTCTCTCTCTCTCTCTCTCTCTCTCTCTTTCTCTTCTCGTATCACGTAATTTTCAAACGATCGCGGAATATTACAAGTGACCTCGATAAAGAGGAATAACAAGAAAAAACGATGGTATAAAAAAAGAAATTTAAGTATACGTCACATAGAGACCTTGCCCTTCGATCAATCCATTTTCTCTTAAATGCGAGAAGTGAGTTAGTTCAGGATATGGCAGATTTAAGGAAGGAACGAAAAGAAAACGAAGCATTCAACTTCGTAATTGTTTTCGTATACCTTATATTTGGCTTCTTTCCTTTCTTTCTTTCTTTTCTCTCTCTTTATCGTCGAAGAAAATTCATTCTTTTGCAATCTTTGATTCTTTTCGTTGAAAAATCGCCCCTTTCCTTGAAACCAAAGAAAAGAATTGTTTTCTTCCATTCAAGAAAATCTTGACGAGAGAAAAAGATGACATTTATTATGAATCTTATGGTTATCATAGATGATAAAAATGAAATCGTCATTAAACGAACGTAGGGATAGAAATTATTTTGTTATAAGGGCGAGAACCAAAACCATACGTAATCGTTGCATCGTGTTTACATTCGCATAATCCTCAAGTATTGTTATCATCGGTTATATAATTAATCCAGGAAACGTAAAAACAAAAGCTTCTGCGTTATGCAACCATACACATTACTTTCGAATGTATCCAGTGACGATAGTCAATGTTGGAATCGAGTTTAATTGTTTCCCTCGAGATCGAGCGCATTTGTCTAAGATCAAAAAAAAAAAAAGAAGAAAGAAAAAAGAAAAAAAAACAAATTCAAACCGTCGATATTTTTTTTGTTTAATTTGATCTTTGAATAAACAGGGAAGGTCTCGTTGAAAAAATTTTCAAGTGAAAAAATTCAATTAAAAATAAATTTAAACTCTTAATATAATATATTACAGCCGAGAAGAGTTTATTCCTCTTTCCTCGAAGTCAACTCATTCCGTTTACACGTAATATTTCGAATATTGTTTTCCTTAAGCTCCGAGTTATGTTATATCGAATTGTGACAAACGTAAATAATTATTTCTGATAAAGGGTTATGCAATAGATGCAAATACAATATAAGCTTTCCTGAAATAGCGATTGTTGCGTAGATTATTACCCATTGGCACATCTCGTATCTGTCTGGGTATTCAATCAGATTTATAAAACCGTTATGCGTTCGTTAATAGAATATTTCACAATTATATGCGTTATGTCTCATGATAATAATAGAAAACAACACAAATATATATATTTATATATATATAATTTTAATACTTATCGAATCGTTATGTCATATAATATATATAATTTGATGCAATCGTTTCTTCGCACATATATAATTTCGATGATGATTCAATCGTTTCTTCGTTATTAAAATATATTTAAACGTTTATCGATATATTATTGATTTAATTTTAAACAATTATCGTTTATTCGCCGCACGTCTACTCGACATAATGTTCTTAGAAATAATATCTGATTTGTAAAGATTTCCGAGAAATATTATTGTTAGAAAATGTCTTATGTGAATTTATATCAATATTTAATTAGCAACTTTGTGGATTAACGACGATTACACAATAATGCCAATTAGAAGATAAAGTGGATAATAATAGAAATATATATCGTATGATTATTATTATTACAAAGAATATGTATATAATCGTGTATCTAATTATCTAAATATTTTCATCGTGTTTACATTTGTGTGTTTCAATTTCTGACGTATCAGATAAATGCTTAATAAGGTCATTTGGAAGGAAGCAATATAATTATTTAATTAAAGTAATTTTAATAAAATTATCAGATAACTAAAGTGGCTAAGACATTCGATAAGTTCATTTTTTTAACGTTTACCTACTGTGATGATTTGAAATTCATCCGATATCGTTTAAAGTTTGAAATGACCTTCCTGAAGAAATCATTCCTTCGTCGTGTCTTCCTTGACGTGACCGTCTTCTTCAAGTTATTGGTCAACAACGGTCTGTAACTATCAAGGAGCCGACTTTCTAAACCTTTCAGAATGTGCCTTCCTTTGGTAATACGTGCACGTACTTTTTTAGCAGTAATACCTCTATAGATATATTCGATTGGCAGAGCTTGCCTTAAATATTTATTACTTTATCGGAGATAAATCATTATTTTTACTAAAAATATAATATTAAGGGGCCCTTCGTCGGCGTAGTAAAAGAAGGAAAGAAAGAAAGAAAGAAAGAAAGAGAAAAAAGGAACAATTCATGCGAGAGAGGAGCAATTTACTTGAAGAAATTATAAATAACTCGCGGTCACAGGTGCGAACCTGCAGTTTCAGGGACGGCCAACGAACCCTGAGAACGAAATGAAGAATGTCTAGTACTTACAGTGCACACGTATATATCTATATATGCATATACATTATTACATTATTCTTTTATTAGTTTTTCAATAAAGTACAACGAAATACCGATCGTTCGTACAACAAAATAACGATAGAACGTTTCTATAAAAATTTTTAATGAATCCCCGTCGAAAGAGAAGAAAATTTGTGATTGACGAGTGGATGAAATTACGATTGCAGATCTTGCTCCTTTGTGTTTCATGGCCTTGGCAACGAGCGATACAACTTCAGTTATATACATTGCCGGTGTACCAGCGTTACCTTCCAGCAATGACTGCACTTGCGTTCACTGCACAAAGCGTCTGTGGTCTAAGCTACAAAACAAAAATAGTTCCATGATGAAAGCCAAGAAATCGGACGGCGCCCGATCACGTACGATTACGAATTTTCGAATTGGTCCCTCTTTCCCTCTCTCTCTCTCTCTCTCTCTCTCTCTTTTTCTTGGTCGGCTTACGTGACAGGAATCTGTCGTAAATTTTGATCGACTCGCATCGAGGAATTGTAGATTTATCGTAAATCTACTTACTTATTTACATACGCATTCTCTTTAGTCACGAACGAAGAAAGTAGTCAAGGCAATTGCGTGCATTGCCTGAATTATTTTTTTCAAATATCAAAAGGTGAAAATCGGAATTCTTACTTTAACGAAAAAATCGGAAGAAAAGAAATGAAATGAAGAACAACTCGGTGTGTGCCTTTTTCAAGCGGATTTATTGATTTTTAGTTGCATGCTCACTGATGATTGGGATCGATGAGATCGATATAATAAAGGGAATGGAAAGAATTGTGGGAAGGATTTTATCGGGACATATTGTTGACGGTTTATTGAACGTTCGGGCGATAATACGTGGAGGTAACGAAAGGTTAAGATGGTGGCAAGGAAAGAGAGAGGGAGAGAGAGAGAGAGAGAGGGAGGAAAAAAAATAATAAGAAGACTAATTGATAAGGAAGAAAAAGAAATGGGAATCGATGAATCGTAGCCAGGGTCCTGTGACGAGTATCTTCCTTTTCTTAGATGTAATATCCAGCTTTGTAGGCGTAAGGTACGTAGCTGTACGGTGAAGCGTAGGTATTGTAAGCAAGCGGCGCTGAATATGCCGAATAAGCCACTGGCGTGCCGAGATTGGAAACGATCGGTGCACCAGCATAGGAGGTTACCAAAGGAGCACTCAAAATAGCACCGGGTGCCGGTGCAGGTGCAGCTGCGGCGAAAGCCAACAAGGCGGCAACGAGGAACTAAATCGAAACACATTGATTTTCAGATTATACCAAATTAAATATCATTATCAATTTCTATCGTATACGTCAAATTTTATAAATATCACTTTGATTCGCGTAACTTTGTTAATCTAATAAAAAATTCAATGTCATTTCAACGTTTATTTTTCATTTAGAAAATTAAAATATTCGTATTGTTCTTATATATGAAATAAATATCATAGAAATAATTCGTAAGAAATAATTTATAGAATAAATCTAATAGTATATAACTCGATAATATATTTGAACTCACCAACTTGAACATGTTGATTCTAGCGTACGAGCTGATTGGCGGTAGCAGAGTAATACCTGAAAATACGAGACGCGGCTCTCTTATATAGGAGGATTCTCGTGGAGATCCTCTTTACACCCGCTCCCCCTTGCCGTACGCATTGAATTTCTCTACTCGACGTCGTTCAGACATCGTACGGTGGAGGACGTCGCCCCTTCGTCTTCATCGTCATCGTCGTCGTCGTCGTCGTCGTCATCGTCGTCGTCGTCGTCGTCGTCGTCGTCGTCGTCGTCGTCGTCGTCGTCGTCGTCGTCGTCGTCGTCGTTGTCGTCATCGTCGTCGTCGTCGTCTTCGCCGTCTTCGTCTTTGAGATACAAAAGAAAACGAAAGCAACAGTTTGTTTCTTCCTCATCTCCCTTTTTTTTTCCACGCGACGGAACCAACCAATAGACGCGATGGACGTTTCTCGACGCTTTGCAAGAAAGGCCTGACCATGCATCAGAGTAGCGAGTAGGGAGGTCGTAGCAATCCTCAAGGTTATTCCCGCTTCCAAGCCGGGCCCTGAGCTTCTCTCCTACTGTTCCAACTTGATCTCGCGACTATAAAAGAGAGTCCCCGATATTGGAAACGTTATTACTAGTTCATCGTGACCAGTCGAAATACCAATACTCCAAGAATGTTCAAGCTGGTAAGTATTTATTATAACTTTGTCATTTGAAATTGTAACAAAGAAAAAGAAATGAAATTTTCGTGGAAAATTCGTGATATTGGTTTTCTATGAGAAATTATAAAAATTCATTAATTCATGTATCTAATCGATTTAAATTTGTAATTATAGATCATTTTCATCGCCCTTGCGGCCGTCGTAGCATCCGCTCCAGCACCAGCACCAGGACCATCGCCAATTTTCGCCGGGCCGATCGCTTACTCTGCCCCAATCGTTGCCGCACCTGCAGCTGTCAGCTCGTCGTACTCCTATTCGGCTCCGTTAACATACAAAACGTTTGCAGCCCCTTTGACCTACGCCGCATCGTATGCACCTCTCGCCTACAAAGCAGCTTATACGCTCGTCTAATAATAATCTCGACCCTTTAAACTATCGATGACCTTTGATTCCTCTCGCCACGGCCTTGAATCATCATCGTTTGAATTGCAATTCACTTTTCCTAGTGCGAAAAATCAACCGCATTATGATGAAAACCTAATCGAAAACGAACAATGTTATATATCTCGATAAGCAAATAAAAAATCTGCTAGCTCTCTAAAATCCTATTGTCGTCTAAATATTCTCCTCGTTATGCAAATCATTATGAAAATATTCCTATATATTCATATGAACTAATAAAAAATGCAAGTGCGTAGAACTCGTAAATTAATATATAAATGAGAAGCAAGAGTAAAAGAAGGCGATTATAATGTGACTAGTGCTCTCTCTCTCTCCCTCTCTCTCTCTCTCTCTCTCTCTCTCTCTCTCTCTCTCTCTCTCTCTTCCTACTCGTCTCATGAGAACCGAGCAGACTCGGCGAACTTGAACTTGAGAAAAAATATGCGGGTTTTGCCTTGAAGTTCTCTGACATCACACCGAGATCCGGTTGAAGCGAACGTTCGCTCGAAACAGGATCGACCGTATGCGGAAAATGGTACCGCATTATAGAGCTCTCGGCGATGACACGGCATCGAGATTATCACGGCGTTGTTCAATTAATTAAATGGAAATCAAATTCCGGACGCAATGTCATTGCCATATTTGCATCAGCGCGACAACACTTTTCCTTTCAAACTTGAATCTAAAAAAAAAAAAGAAATCGTTCGAGCCTTATCGTTATGTAAATTTGTAGCAAATTTTTATAATATTTTTTAATACATTTTCTTTTTTTTTTTAACTACTCCAGCACGTTTCTAGCGTGAATTTTGAAATATCTCGAATCGAGCCCTCTCTATCTTCTAAGGGCGTCTCTTCTACTTTTCTCTGGTATACTATTTCCTTTTGGAAAATAGATAGTTATTTAATTTAGGAAAGGAGTAAGAAATTAGACATTTCAAAGAGAATTTTCTTGGAAAATGATTTATTGAATGAAAGATAAAACGGATGACAAATGAACGGGCATTTTTCCGTGTGCGATATCACGTAGTTTCGTATGTATTATATGTGTGACTTCATAAGCAAAATGAAGAATCGCATTAAAGCAAGAGCCACATCAGACACTAAATAGATACGACGGCATGAGTAGGATAAACCACAGGCGCGGAAGCATAAGTGATAGGTCCCAATCCCAAATTGTTGTAATTTCTCGCGATAAATTGACTGCTAGTGGCGGTCAACAATGGAGATGGCAAGGCTGCCAAGACTGGCGTTGACAAAAGTCCTGGTGCTGGTGCAGGTGCTGGTGCAGGTGCACCGAAAACGCCAACCAAGAGGGCGAAAAGAATACACTGATATAGAAAAAATAAAATAACGAGTTATAGAATGAAAAATTGAGATTAGAAAAATTCTTCTTCAACAAAAATGTTCCTTGGTAAATGTAACATTTACTAACCAGCTTGTACATCTTGAAGGAAGTTTTCTATCACGATTGAATTCGAAGTAGAGAGTTTGGATTCTGTATCTTTGATCGAACCGGAAAGCGCTTTTATACCCATCGCAAGGCACACCCCTCCAGAATGAATCTCTGACTCTTCCTCTTTTTACATGAACCTTGAGATACAGGATCTTGAATGCAGCTGGATACGCATCTCGTCTCCACCTGCAAATATTTACTCGACCGACCGATCAAGAAGATTCTCTTATGGTTTCTCTCTCTCTCTCTCTCTCTCTCTCTCTTTATTCTCTTCTGTCATTCTGTGTCTATTTATTTATCTATTTATTTTATCTCGCATCTATGAACGCTAACGAGAAAATTTTATGCAACGTCATTGAGTTGTGTCTTTTAAAATTCAGCTCATGGCGTTGAGACCTGGGCTAATCGTGCATAGAACTTGCTACATACTTTTCTATACGCGAGACGCGTAAAAGAAAGAGATAGAGGAAAAGAGAGAGAGAGAGAGAGAGAGAGAGAGAGAGAGAGAGAAAGAGAGAGATAGAGAGTTGGGGGAGTTTTGTAGTCGTGCATGACCTTGCCATACATTGTCCCCAAGTACGATTCGCGGTCGGAGAGATTATACAACCATTTACTATGACATAGCTTTACGTAATTTCTATTGGCTGCTTTCGATCCTATTGCACGAACTTCAAAGTCGAAGAATCCCTATGTACATTGTTGTTTAGAGTCGATCAGTCAATATAGGATCGATCGAAACAAGCCCATCGATTGCAAGGATAATGCTCATTTGCAGGACTTGCCTATCAATATTGTTTATCGAAATTAGAAAGAAATAAAAGTAGAAAGGAAATATCCAAATGGTATTCCACGTAGAAATAGTATCATTATTTATATTAGATTTATATAAATTTTGAAATATAGAATGATATGAAAAAATGAATAAAAAGGAAAAGTAGAAATTTGTAGTATGGCGAAAGGAACGTTTCCTTTCGAAGCTTATTAATCGAAAATCGGTCGGAAGAACCAGAGCTCGAAACAATACCACTTTGCATTCATCCTTTCAACGACGAGTGAGAGCGATTTCGAACGAATTATTTCGCAAGGCTCGAACGAGACGGGGCGCGGTTGGATGTCCCCTATAAATTCATGGCAGGACGATTCGTCGTCACTCGTTGTCCACTCGTCGAATCAACAAGCAAATTAAAAATGTTCAAGTTCGTTGTAAGTGAAAGCATCGCAATTGTCTCTTACGATTCTTTGATAATTCATTAATTTCTTTGATAGTATTTACACGAATGAATTTGTTTCAGAGCTTCTTCGCCGTCGTAGCAGTCGCGTGCGTAAATGCCGCGCCAGGCGGATTAATCGCAGCCCCAGCGGCGATTGCGGCAGTTCCTGCACCGATTGTCACTGCCAGAAGCAGCCAGGTTATCGCGAGAAATTACAATACGTTCGCTGCCGCACCATTGGCCTATACCGCAGCTGCTGTCGCAGCCCCAGTAGCCGCACCGGTCGCTTACACCGCACCAGCGGCAGTAGCAGCACCACTCGCAGCCGCACCAGTGGCATACACTGCACCATTCCCAGCGGCAGCACCCTTCGCATATGCCGCACCCACTCTCCACGCCGCACCCCTCGTACTTAAATAAGAACGTCTACTTTCTTCCCTGGCTCGATTATGTCTACTGATCTTATGTTAGAAATATAAAAAAGTTTTTCATCCTACATAGACCATACTTTGTTTTTAATGTCACATCCCTTTCGCTTTATTATCTTCGATATATTATAAAGAATGCTTTTTATAAATATCTCGATTGATATCGATGAAATATCTGTCATGTACGTTGTCAGAGTAATTATTGGATATAATCCTAACATTGCGTCTCTCTGATCTCGTTCCAGTATCATAAAATACCGATACCTGAAGATATTTCTCTCTCTCTCTCTCTCTCTCTCTCTCTCTCTCTCTCTCTCTCTCGTTGTTGCAAGTCATCGTCAATCCAATTGAAACGTGTTCGCAAAGATCCTACGAAATACGTGAAACAAATATCTCTGGATCCAGATGTGACAAGTTTTTAATTAATGCAGGTGGTGAACAAAACGCGTCGTTCAAATGAGATGTGGAAATGACATTGGGAGGAAATGAGGTTTCGAAGAGACATTGAATGGTGCTAGAATACTTGCTCCTCTTTCTGTACAATTATAGTCGTCTAGTTAGTCAGAATCCTGTATTGTTCCATCATAAAACTATCTCCTTTGACAAGATTTTAAAAATGATTAAGACGCTTCAAAGATATTTTATATTATGCATTAAATTCATATTCCTTCCTTGATCAAATTTATAACGTTTCGATTAATTCAAACTTTTGTGATATAATAAGTATTGCGTAGAAACGTATGACGATAGCAACTCGACGCAGAGTACATAACTAATATCGATAAGTAGAATAAAATTGTTGTTTGAATTTAAATAGATCTTATGCAATTGTTCTGTTAACTTTCTTCTCATGTTGTTTATTATTATTTTATTCATTATATGAGGCAATCGAAACATCGAAAAAGAAAAAGTAAATAATAATGTAGACAAATGTAATGAATAAATGATGTCTATCAAAAATAATTATAAAAATACAATACTTGACATTTTCATGATAATTTATACAATTGTTTTGTCTGGTCTTCATGAACCGTGACATTTCGTTCCGTCTAAAAGTAATAATTCTTCATCGATACGGATGAATTTATAGAAATCGTGGTGCCAGTAAAGTCACGGCTTATCGGTAAAGCTTTAACGTTCTAGGTCGTGAAGCTCGGTTCATCCTTTACGTAATCTATCGAGAGCTCATTGCGAGCTCGATCACGTAGGAGAAAGAAAGTGTATTGAATGGCCGTTGGGACTGGTATAAAAACGATACCAGTTCGGACATTGGCATTGTACGGTGCTTCTTCGAATCGAACAACAACATGAACTCTTTCGTTACGGTGAGTTCGATCAATGCAACATCGAAACGAACAAAAAAAGATAATCTCGTTTAATAAAATTCTATCATACTAACGTACTTGGGTGTTATTTTCAGGTAACAATCGCGGCTGTGCTCGCAGTGGCGCAGGTTGCCCTGGCAGGAGTGGTACCTGCGGCTCCACTTGTGGCCGCACCTGCGGCTCCACTTGTGGCCGCACCTGCGGCACCGGTAGTGGCCGCACCAGCACCTGCGGCTATTGGCTATGCCAAGGCCGTACCATACAATATTCCACCGTATGCGTCTAGAGTCGACATTACGTCAAGAAACATCGCTGCACCATTAGTTGCATCTGCACCGCTCGTAGCCGCAGCACCAGCAGCACCGGTCGTAGCCGCGGCACCAGCAGCACCGGTCGTAGCCGCGGCACCAGCAGCACCGATCGTAGCTGCGGCACCAGCTCCGATCATTGCCGCACCTGGTCTCCTCCAAGCTACTTATGCCGGAAGTTTGGCTGCTCCTTTCGCTCAATTCGCAGCTGCGGCTTATGGACCGACGGTTTTCGGCTAAACCATAAATGAAATTGGATTGATCTATGACGATTGCATCTTTGGCTGTCCATCTTTATTTTTTTTTTTCTTTTTTGTTAACGCTCGTTCATCAATAAACATTTCTTACCACTCTTAAAATCATTCTTCCTTCTATATACATTTATGAAGAAAAATATTTCATGCCATGCTCGTTGGGGCTCGTTGATTCATTATATCGCAATTTTGATGTCTCTCTTTCTTCACGAATAGAAAACATGCTACGAATAAATCTCTCAGTCATTCCCAACGTCTTCGTTAGCAAAGTGAGAAAGCAAATTATTACCCGATATAATTAATCCCCAAGGCAACTTACGTTTTTCCAACCTTAAGCTCTTTCCAACGAGAGTTCCCTTATGAAATTATACAGGTCCGAAGAAATATGTACGTACATATATCCTGCCGCATGAAGGAATTACTCGTGATATTCTTGATTTTCCCTTTTGCGGGAAACAGGCTTCTACGTAAATAACGTATTTTTTATTTGTGCATGCGTTTGTAAGTATTTCTCTTTCTATCTCGGTGCATCCTGAAAGGAGCCCGACGAAGAAAAGGAAGAACGTGAGTCCTGTAAAAGAAATCCGGGCAACGATCGACAACTCGATCTGGTTCAACCTTGCAGCAGGAACCTTGAAGATTATATCCTGCTTTTGAAATACGACGACGACGAGTAAGAAAGACGGGAAGTCGCTGAGAAAGTCTCGCTATTTGCGTGAAATTATTACAGAACGAAGAACAAATTAAGAAATCAATTATAACAGAATGATTGTCAGATTGTAAAATTTATGAATTCTATATTACAGAATAATCGTTAAATTATAAGATTTAAGAATTCAATAGTAAATAATACAATCTAATCGGAGAGAGAGAGAGAGAGAGAGAGAGAGAGAGAGAGAGTATAGTCCGTAGTATAAGGATCTTTTGTATTCTGTAATAAATAATCTCATTAACAAATATCTCGTCTTTACGCACTCTTTACAAAATCGAGTCAATTAGGATGGTAATTAAGTTAAAAGAAAGATATGAAGGAAGTCGAATGAAAAAGGAACTGACTAATAAGAGATTTTGATTTATGTTGTATTAGAGACATTAGTCAGTAATATCGCGTTGGACGGTACCTCAAGGTGACGAAAAAAAAAAAAAAGGAAAAGAAGGAAAGAAAAAAAAAGAAGAGAAAACGAAGGGCTAAGGCGCCACTCGTCGTTGAAAAAAGGTTAAAAAAAATTGAGAAAGAAAATTCATAAAATATATAAAGGTCTTATACATCGTCAACGATTCGTTTCGTTGATAAGAAAATTCAAGACACGTTCCGAGGTGGACGATAGCCGCTTCACCCACCGATGTCTCAATAGGGAGAAGAAATTGTACGAAAGGCTTGTTAAAGTATTTAGGACGATCTCTAAGCGAGTGATCGTTGCAACAGATGATTAAAATTACCTCGTTAAAACATAGACGTGTAATCATCTAATATACATAATCATACTATCGATGATTCGTAGGATATACATTTTCTTTTTTGTTTTTTTTTTATTAGGTTTTTTTTTCTTTTTTTCTTTTTTTGAAGTAATATATTAAGATACTGTTAATTGTTCGAAACAAATGTAATTTCGTAATATTCTTTGCCAATTAAAAAGATTGCAAGCACATAGACGATCGTGGAAGGATCGAACATATTGTAAAAGAAAATACGACCGATAAGATCCGAAAAAGAAATCTTTCTCTTTTCAATGTCAATCTGTCGGAAGTTGGCCGAGGAGGTACGCTCGCAAATCACCTACCGGGGCACACCTACGATACGAAACTAAGCGAAACGTGATCTTTGTTTTTCGCCTCACGTCTCGTTTCACGATCGAATTTCGTTAAATCGTTCGATGGACTTACCAAAAAAAGAAGTTCCTTGAAACGAAGGCGCGGGTAACCGATGGAAGTGGGTAGCATCGAACGGGCGTGGCCAAACGTACGCAGAGGTCATCTAGTATGCAAGACCGTGATCCTCGGTATTGTGAGATAGGAGACCATGGGGTGGGAGTTTCTTTGTTGGAAAGCGAAACCAGCTATAAAAGACAACGGAGCTCATCGGTTGCCATCGCAGTTTTGGCAGCTTAACGTCCAAGCGAAATCTCCAAGCAAAATGATGACCAAGATCTTTGTAAGTCTTTTTATCGATATAATAATTGATTAGGATTTTCAATCGATTTCTTCGATGATTTACAAAATTCATTGATCGCTAGAAAAAGTCGTTCATTAAAATGTTATTTTTTTTATTTTCTCGAAATTGTTATTTCAAAAAAGATTTGGACTTATTCGATCACAATCTGACTCATTCGATCCTTCCTTTCAGATTCTCATCGGCGCCCTCGTGGCTGTTTGCTCCGCCGGTATTGTACCAGCCGTACCAGCAGCAGTTTCAGCGGCGCTCACGGTTGGTACTTATGCATCGAGTTACAACGCTCACGCCATCAATCATGCTCTTGCTGCACCTTACATCGCTGCACCCGCGGCTGTAGCCGCTGCTCCTGCAGTAGCAGCTGCACCCTTTGCCTATTCAGCTCTACCAGCTACATACGCTTATTCCGCACCCCTAATAGCTGGAAGACGTTAAAATCTCTCATTAGGCAAATTCAACGTTTAAGATGATATCCAACGAAATTAATTCACCCATAGAACCAAATTGAGAGAATCAAAAGTTTTGGGTATAAAAGAAAACCAGGTTCTACTGAATTTTTTCATCGAAATTTTTTTACAATCGGATTATCACCGTGCATCGTCCGTAGATAAGTAGAGATCCTAACTGCGACGATGCAATCGGATAAAACCGGTTCTGATCTCGACTACACCACGATGCGAACGATGCCTTGGTCTCAACGCTCTACACTACATCTCGCTTTCTCATATCGCTCCTACTCGATCGATCAATAAATCATTCTTTAATTTCGATAATCCAAATCTCTATAAATATTTTTTAATCCTTCGATACTGTCCTAAAACACATCCACTTGTCCCTTATTATAAGAAAGAAAGAAAATGATATTTTCCAAGAAAACATCGATTAAATGGGATTCCTCCCGTTGTTCGACTAAAACGGTAATTAAAAATGGGAATTTTTCTTAGAAAGCGTTTAAGAAAATTGA